CACGCGAGTATCCGCGAAACTATCAGCCGGTGCACGTCACGCGGCCCTGCCCGCGAAATCGGGATCGGTGGCGGGGCCGAATGGAAAGGGAATGAAGAGAGGAGATGAACGGATATAAGAGAGAGAAGAGTACCAGCGAAACTCAACTCACGACAGTCGGATGCGAACTGCTGGACGAGCGCTACTCCCCCCCACTCCCGACGACAATCAACGTTTCCCCTCTCACTGAGACGACCAATCGTCGCACCCCTCGTCTACTCCCGCCACGACGTCTATCCGTGCCGGAGCAGCGCCTGGCGTGATAACAACACAATATTAAGCTGCGCTCACACCGGCCGGCTTGCGATAAGAGAATTTCGGAGTGCGGCGCGTCGCAATTTTTTGTATGCGAAACAGATTTGCCGTCTCCTTCTCTTTCATCGTGCGAATTCTAGTGTGCTTCTTAGATTGCATCCGTAACGTATTTTTAGACGAGCGGAATATAAAAACATAAACATCTGCAGTTTTACAATGTTTGTTTACATATATTTATGTAATAATTTGTGAAAATCATGCGTAAGCATTATTTATTATTTGTAAACACATAGACATGTGTAAAATATGAAATACTTTTCAAAATGTACGACGTTCGATTTGTAAATAATTAATTTGATTTGCATTTATATTAAAACACAAAATCTCGAAATATAAATACAAAGTTTACTCACCTAATCTAATTCTTAAAATTCAATATCAAGTTTTATGAGCAGAACACATTGGGTATTTTATATTCCGTTTTCTTCTACTGTGTATACTAATAAATAATAACTTAATAATAATATAAAAGTATGGTTCTATTCATATTATTTCCCATAAAAAACAAGTTTATTTATAACAAAGTTTGTTCTTGACAGCAAAAATTTCAATGATGAGTCATTGCGGGTTTTTTTGTGACTGTTATGATACATATATATAAGTTGTAAACAAAAAATAGATACTATAAAAAACATTGGGAATTTTGTAAGAATGATGATTTAAACCAATAATCATATTCAAGGAATAACTATGCAAAGAGCGATATTTAAAAACACAAACTGCGCAATTTGTTAAATTCTCAAAATGCAGGAGGACATCGATAACAATTTTTACTCCGAAAAGTATACCAAGCGAAGCATTAAATTTCCTGATAGTCGATCTGTCCAAACGATAACCCGATATTTGCAATTTTCTTAAACTGCACGTTTTCCGTGATCTACCTCATGCTTTAAAAAGACCGCGAATAAAACTAAAACCCACGAAACGGTGATCGAGGTAACTCCATAAAATGGCGTAATACCCGATAAGTTTTATCCCGCATGATATTTCACACATTCATTGCTGTAAACGTCAAACACAGTAATTTATATTTCTTCATGGCAATGCCTGATTTCGCTTTCTTTATCGCGTCCAAAGTAAATATTCATTTAACTCTCTTATTGCGATATTATACGGTGTAGGCGAAGAATGCACGCGCGAGGTATCGAGTTACTTTCTTATGTTTGTCTGCAAACAAGATATAGCCTGCGATTTCGATATATCGTACAATTTTATATGCGGACTATGGTGAAATAAAAGTGTCGCAAAAGTGTCGGCGCATATGTCGCCGTGATTTATTTGCGTCTATTTTCGATGCGATTCTATCGTTCTACTTTTAGAAATAGTTTGAATAATATTTGATACCGCAACTGAAGTTAAAATAATCTCTTTACGTGGTATTTCTAATGTTTGAAATAATATTAAAAATAAATAGAATAAAATGATAGCAAAATATAGGAATTTATGTGATATTCGATGTTTCGTTATTGGAAAAAAAAGAAACAAATACAGATAATGAGATATATCGAAAGAGAATTTTTTTCGTCAGTTCTACTTAAAGACCGATTGTGATCCCAGTAAACATGAAGTATATATGCAAACTTTGGCACGGTCGATGTCGTTTCAGTAACTAGGAAAAGCGGAACCCTTTTGCTCAGCCGTGCCGTAACATTGAACGTAACACTAGCTGGCAATTCCGATTAGATGAGAGCGCAGTAATGCGCCGCACTTACGGTTGATTAATTAACCAAACACGAAGAGCAGCGATCGCTCATGGGGTTATATTTGTAAGATGCTATAATTAAATTAACAATAAGCTTTACGATGTTTCATAGTATAATTTCGTCTTGGAAAAATACTCTTCGAGCATGGTTTCAGGTTAAAATGCTTACACCCGAAATATTTCATATATATAATAAGAAGACTGCTTTATATGTATTTTTTTAGAAGATAATAATGAACAAGTCTCGAAAATTAATTTGGACTTCGAGAGATAATTTTGCGTTGGATAAAATATAGACAATTACATAATCATTTATTTAATCAATTATAATTGTTTATCTAATCAATAATTTTATCTAATCTTTTCTCAATAACAACGATAAATTATATGTAGCATTTATAATAAAACCAAATAATTTGAAAAATGTTCTTCACAAATTTCTCATTATAATGAGAATGATGGTGAAGAAAAATTATTAGCATGCTAATTTAAAGTACAATTTTAACTTACCCGTATAAAACGACGCTCTCAGGCACGGACGTAACTGAAGAGGATGTACCGGAGTCATCGTCGTCCACCTCATCCTTCATTTTTCAAAACTTTCCTACGCATCAAAAGAATGTTTTATTAGAACCGGTGCATCATTGATAAGATAACTACGTCTAAATTATGTGAAAAGTAATAAATCAATTTTCAGGAGTAATTATATTACACAAAAATTGAGTTATTAGAGATAATTTAATCTGTCGTACATATTTTCTCATATAAACATCTTCACTTCTCATTTTTCTAGAAGAATGTATAAACGTTAAGATGGCATTAATGCATTATACAGGATATTTCGTATCATAATAAAAAAATTGCAATAAAAAATTAATACATTTTTTTTAGATATTTGATAAAACAATTGTTTATAATATGCAAAGTTAATTGTATAATGACTGCATATAATAAATCATACACACAGAATAAGTGTTCGATTAAGCATTTTCTATATTTAAATATTTGCTATTAAAGCAAATAAAGCGGAAATACTTTAGCTGCGCTGATTGCAAAATATTCGAGTATGAGTACGCTTTTAAGTATTTGTTTGATGCATTCTCGGCGAGATTCTTTTCATACGTGCAATGCAATTGGATCGCTGCCACGCAAGCGTGACACGACAAAAACTCCGATTGCATTGCTTAATCGTTTAGGAGCGAGTAAACTTCATTTCAAGAAATCGATGCGAAAACGATAAGTGGTACATCGTCGTCGGTTAGGTGACATAACTAATGTTGTGATACATATAGCTTCCAACTGGTTGAAAAATGTACTCCGTACGTTGCATAATAGTGAAAGAAGAGCTTAAATTGTAATAATTTATCGTATACATAAACAATGTTAAATCCGCGAAAACACATTCAAATCCAAATAATTATATAATGTACGCTAAAGCATAAGCATGGACATTAATTCAAGAATATTTTTTGCAAATGTTCATAATTTTGATGTTATTTAAATTCCATTTAAATCAAAACTTATTTCGAAATTTGTGAAAGTCCAATTTTGAAATATTCAGCAAATAAATTATTTCCAAGAAATTTAATTTAACCTTTTAGTTGCGAAATATAACAAGCTCCTTTTACTGTAAGTATGATATACTGTTTAAATTTCCATATAATTCGACATTAAATAAGATTGTTAAAAATTAACTACGACAAACTTTGATCAATCCTTCATTAAAAATTTGTATTTTAGAAAAATAATCTATTTTTAATGCACAAATAAAGATTAAATACGTTACAAGTTCATAAATTGCCTTGATGTATCTACTTCAACAAGTTTTGAAATCCGATTTATTTTACTATCAAAATAAATGACAAATTCAAAGTGACGTTCAGATAGAATACTCGGCCCGAGCTATGACTTTTACCTTGAATATAATCTCATGTTCAGAGAGAACTTTGTAGATTTGCTACTACTACGTGACAGGCAGAATTTATCGTCGATCGCGCTTCGTTGCCCAGCGCGCGCGTGAACGTGAACGCGAATCGAATTTGCGATTCGTCGTAGCGCACAAAATACCGGCCGGGAGTCGAATTGACCGACATTCGGCGAGCCGGCAAAATCAGAACAATTCATACCACGGATAAACCACGTCGCGTAGAACGGTCGCACGTTTCGCGCGCGGATAACAGTGCTAATTCGTGACAATCGCACGGCGTTGTCCAGGATCAAGGGTGGTCTTTGTTCATGGTCACGCAATTCTCCGTTACATCGCACGACTGTAGATTAGCACGTACGTGATCCCGATCGCACCACACAGCGAGACCTGCGTTGTCAGCAATATGTTGTCTGCGATACAGCAATAATCCTATCAGGTTGACCGACACTCCATTATATCGAGATTTTGTACCTCGAAATATTGGATATTTTCCGAGAACTGAAGGTTCAATCTGCACGAGTTTTGCAAACATTTAAATATATTTCCAGGAAAATTTTATGCAGAAATATGTAGAAAATATATCTAAATATTTCAAGAAATGGATAAATATTTATTCGAATAGAAATGTGTAATTTTTCATAAATGAGCTAAAATAAGAATGAAGATTTTCCTTCAACAATTTGTGTTTTAAATTTATGCTATTTTGTTCTATAAAGATTTAAATGTTTATATTATACAATATTATACGATTGGTATTATGTTATTCGTTGCTTGTCGTCTTAAGAGAATTAACGGATACTTGTGACAGAAACATTTTCTCTTGTGTAATATAAAATTTAATTTGTACTTTCATAAGAATAAAGAAGCAATAAAATATTTCTGCCTCATTATATTTAATTAACAAAACGAGA